GAGCGGTGTCACTGTGATTAGAGAGTTATTGCCTGATCTTGTTGGTTGCAGATAGAGCAGGTGAAGCCTTTGAACTGTATACCTCTGGAACTGAGAAGGCTGATGTTGATTTAATATTTAGGATGGTTTGAAAGTTGTATTATGTAAAAACTGTCCAATTGAAGCTTGTCAAACAGCCCTACGCTCTGGCTGGACAGCAGAACGGCTGAATGTTGAGCGAGCACTTCTGCTGAGTAAACCAGTGGAGCTTTCTAATATTAGCTCCCTGCTGAAGTGGCTGGTTGAAAGACGCAGACGTATGATCAGTGCACTCACTCCTCCCAAACATCTTCCCGTTCCTGTGTCTCTGTTTCATGCACGTGTTAGGTGATGTAGGCAGCAAGCTGAGGGTCCACCTCCTATGCTACTTGACTAGTTTTTGGGTAGCCGCAGGTGTCGTCTTGTTATTGCAAATAATTTACGTAAAATGCTTTGTCTTGGTGCCACTTTAGCCTCATGCTCAGAAGTGGAGTTACGTCCCTGAGAAAAGAGAAAGGCTTGACTTGCCTTTCTGTATGTCTGTCTCTTTCTTTAACAGAACAGGCCCAAAGGGAACAGGCATGTACTTAGCAGTGTTGTGTAAAGTAGGGTGGATACCCTGCTGACTAAATATCCCACCAGAAAACGGTTTAGAGATGATGGCACAAAAATTCATAGGGAAAAATGTGCTCATTGACTTTTGGTGGTGGAAAGCAGCTGGTGACATGCTGCAGGGCCAATGCTACTGATGAGTTTTTGCAGAGCACCACGTGAAGGGTCATCCAGTAGCAGATCTGTGGCGGAACATCACGCTGCCTCTCAGCGAGTCTGTGCAAATACTGGGTTTGATTCTGGTTTCAGCCTTCACTGGAGTGAATTGTCTTTGCTGAAATGAAGAGAACAAGTCTGGTCTTAAATTAAAGGAAGAAAAGCCACAAGCAAGATCTTGCCTTTGCAAAAGCGATAGAAATGGATTTTTGTGATACCTTTTTTCTGTATTTTTTTTTTAGTTCTGTTCTAAATTACATGGTTGTGGATTGTCTTACCTCTTCCTACCTGTAGTGTGAAGAATTTGCAATTTTTTACTCCCTGAGAGAAATGTATGAAAAGCTTTTAGTATTGCCAAACCTTTGCAATGCAATGACCTTTTCTCTACCAATCAACGTCGGCATCCTTTGTCGACCCTGGGATGCTTAAGTAAGGTCAGCAGATGTTGCGTGGATTTTTTTATTTGCAAGCTAAGGAGGAATGAAATTTGGCAACCATAGCTGAGATTCTCAGTGATTTACAGTATTAACTGGACAATGAAGTTTTTCTGTAGCAATAACAAGTCCGTAGGGACTGAGTTAATTGCTGGTTTTCAGTGCAATAACCTAGTATGATCCCTCTTCAATTCTGCATTATGGTAAATGTGAGTCCTGGCACTAATCAGTATTATCTTTTCATCTGGCATTTGGAGCTTTGTTAGTGGTGATTTGTCTGGAATGATTACATTTATTTACACTAATTTATAATGAAATTATTATTTGTAAAGGGAAGAACAGTCTGGTTACCTGCATCTCTATGCTTTTGATTATTTTTTTTTCCCTTTTCACCTATAAAAAATAAAAGTAATTTGATAAGGCTCATTAGAAGGTAACTTACGTTTCTGATAAACCTCAAGCACCATTGTAATTTGGGAGTGATTTATTATTGTGTGTTTCTGTTTATGACAGAATGCAAAGTCTGGCGAAATCCTTTAAATCTGTTCAGAGGAGCTGAGTATAATCGGTAAGTGCTACGGTAATGTTACAGTTTCAGGCATAGTACTGGGTTAAGGACCTTGACTGTACTTTTCCATTAATCTGACTCAGAGATGGAAAAACAAAACCAACTGTGGACACATGTGCACGTGCCAGGTTTTTCTGTCATTTGTAAAAAGTTTCTGAATGAGAAGGAATTTAAATTCATGCTCGTGCGCTTATTATTTCTGCAGTTTTTGGTGACCTTATAAAAAAATGGGAAAACCTAAGTGCAGTGTACCTGGTACAGTTAATACAGTAATTCTGTCCAAATCAGTTATAGCAAACGACCTAGTGAATTATATCTAGGTTTCATGTGGTCATAGTGTTTGAATGTGTGTGTTACTGATTTCCAGCGTGTACTTTCCAGCATCCCCATTAGCTTTGGTTCAGCTACTGCCGCTCCCTCACAGTACACTGAGATGCAACCCATGTGGGTTAGGACAAATGTATGTTAGCTGGGTGAACTTAGTAGGCTATGCCCATCTCTAACATCTGGGTTTCTTTTCTAGATTCATTTTGCCAAATGTGACCCCATTAACCAAAATGTCTCTTTGTTGGCATGTTTGCAGGTATACATGGGTAACAGGGAGAGAACCTTTGACTTACTACGATATGAATCTTTCAGCACAGGACCATCAGACCTTCTTTACATGTGACACGGATCATTTACGGCCTGCAGATGCTAGTAAGAGACCTTGTGAACAACTATTTTTGCTAATAGGTTAATGATTGTTTTAAACTCATGCAAGAAAAACACAGTGGGAGATCAATTCTCTCGGGTAGATAAAGAAAGGCAAAAGATTGATTGTGCCTGGAAAGCCATTGGTTGGATTCGTAGTATTCTAGATCTGCACCAGTATCTATGTAGGCATAAACTATCAAATTTGTGTCACTATTTTGTTCTAATTTCTTGCTGAAGTCATTCAAGGTACCATTTGCAAGTGTAAAGGCTTGTTTTTTCCTCCTGTTTCTTGCAGTGGCTTCAAACATGTATAGCTTAATTTGCCTCCAGCTGCAATGTAGTATCTTGAGTTACGTTATCCAGGTCCCACTTAGTCGATGCTGACAGAAGAGAGAGAGCTTACGTAAAACTTTGAGTCCTGTTTTTCATTCCCTGATGCTCTGTAAAAAATGGGAACAACACATTTACAACTGAATTTGGTATAAGTAGCTTTAGTTGTGTTAAGCCTTTACTGTTAAGTCCATGGGCGGACTTTGGTTCTGCTAAAAATATACGACAATGATTTTGATTGTCAGAATTTGCCTCTGAAGAGACAAATCTTCTTTGTCTCTTAGGAAAGGAGAGATACTGACAGGTGGCTGCTCCATTTTGAGGGCATAATTACAAAGGAAAACACACTGTGCTTTTTGACACACGATAAACATGAATGCTATTTTCTGAATTCGTTGGGCTAATTGTGAGGTGGTCTGTTATGTGGATGTTGTTTCCATTTAACATTCACCTAAAGCAACATCACAGTAAGGAACTAGAATAAAAATCCCAACTGTCCATGTATTCTTTTTATGCTCTGTGGAATCTCCAAGAGGAAAAAGCTGCTTGTCACCTCTGTATGCGACAGTGCAAATGGCATGATCTCTCAGCCAGATTTTCCCATGTAAAAAAATTTAATTAAATGGAAGAATAAAGCTGGGTATTTGGGACAAAAGCTCATGTTGATTATGTATCTTTTGAGTGATCACTGGGCTCTTTGAAATGCTCTGGAGTGAGTCAGGCTGAGAGCAATAAATTCTCTTGTTGTAATGCAGTAGATTCTGCTTGTTAATGCTGTAATGACTGATATACCCCTGTTCTGCTTTGTTTATTGAATAGTAATGCAAAAAGCCTGGAGAGAGAGAAACCCCCAAGCCCGAATTTCTGCAGCACATGAAGCTTTGGAATTGAATGAGTGAGTGACAACAACATTAACATTTATTTCATGTCGTTTAAAAATCCATTTGATGATAGCTTAAGGCAGGAGCTTTGCTACAGTAATTTTTGACCATGATTACAGGCCTGTCACAGGAAGGCCTACAATGGGAGGAAAAAAGCACAGCTGCGTGTTGTGCTAGCCACCCAGAAGATCCTTAGGGCAGTGATGACAATGGGAGTCTTGCCGTTGATGTCAGTGGGCTTTGGATCAGCATAGCGAAGTGTTAATTACATTGCCTCCTGATGAGCATATGAAATATGCATTTATGGGACAGAGAATTCCCTTTTGGATTTCTCAGTCATCCTGAACAGAGGCAAGAAAGGAGAGACTCATAAACACCTTCTGAAATATTCATTTCGTAGTGTGAGAGAATATGATGTAATTTTCTGGGACTTTCAGTCTTTGAGTCCGTTATTTGTTTTCTCAATGAGAAGTGTAGTATTGTGAGATCCCGCAATAAACTCAGTGCTGTGATGCTTTACTGGCGTGGCAAACTGTATAAATGATGCCAAAGCGCATAAAGCGGAGGAAGTCCCTTAGATTGCTGTCAGAGATTACTGCATTCTAGAATTTCATAAACTGGTGCCTTACGGATTGTCCACGTGTTTCATCAGAAAGAGAAAAAGAATTCCTTGTTGGGGACAGCAGTTCAACTGAGAGAGCATGCAGCATAAAAGGCTTTTGCAGAAGCGGGCTGTAAGCCTATCCTGTTCTACGCGTGTATCACAGGATCACAAAATGGTTGAGGTTGGCCGGGACCTCAGGAGGTCATCTGGTTCAAGGCTCTGGCTCAAGCAGGCCCACCCACAGCACGTTGCACAGGACCATGTCCAGACAGCTTTTGAATATCTCCAAGGAGGGAGACTCCACAAAATCCCTGGACAACCTGTGCCACTGCTCAGTCCTCACAGTAAAAAAGTGTTTCCTGATGTTCAGGTGGAGCCACGTGTGTTTCAGTTTGTGCCCATTGCCTCTGGTCCTGTCACCACTAAAAAGAGCCTAGTTCCATCCTCTTTGCACCCTCACATCAGGTATTTACAAATATTGATGAGACCCCTCTGAGTCTTCTCCAGGCTAAACAGACCCAGGTCTCTCAGCCTTTACTCATCTAAGCGGTGCTCCAGTTCCTTAATCATCTTTGTGCCCTTTGCTGGACTCTTTCCAGTATATCCATGTCCCTTTTGTACTGGGGAGCCCAGAACTGGACACAGTACTCCAGGTGTGGCCTTACCAGTGCCAAGTAGAGGGGAAGGATCACCTCCCTTCACCTGCTGGCAATGCTCCCCCAATGCAGCTCAGGATACCATTCACCTTCTCTGCTGCAAGGGCACATGGCTGGCTCATGGTCAACTTGATGTCCACCAGGACCTGCAAGTTCTTTTCGGCCAAGCTGTTTTCCAGCTGGGTGACCCACAGCAAACACTGGTGCCTGGAATCTTGTTTTCACCCAAACCTGTTTTTTCCTGTTCCTCAGCTGATGACTCTCTGTGAAATGCAAATAGAGGCAGCTGCAGCCCGATACTGTTTCTGTAAGAAGAAAATCTTACCAGCAGTGTGCTTTGTATCAGAAAGAAGTCAACAGGCCATATCACATCTAACTTTAGGTGCTAAAAATGTGGCCATCAGGTTTAAAGTAACTGCCTGGGCTCCCTCTGTAGTCACTGAGAGGCACCTCCATTCAGCAATTCACCTTATTCCTAGAGAGATGTTTAAACATGTGAAATGAATGGCTTTGTGAAGATGCTCCTTGATGGAGGTGGAGGGAGACAGATAGTTGAGAGATCTAAATTAGACAGCTAAAAGCTGGATGGGGCGACTGCCATCATGCATTTCACCTTTCTGTGTATTCCTAAAGCCGCTTTCCTGTTTGGGGCGGTGGGGGGGAGTTTATGTTTTTTAATCTCTACAATTAAATTTATAATCTGTTCTTTACATATGACAAGTGTTAGAGGTCTATTGATTCTTTTCATACTGATACCTTAATGAAGACATTTTGTGTTAGAACAATAGTGCATAAAACTAGTGTTGGTTTCCAGAAGGAGTTTAGTGATGAAGGCCATGATTGCTTATGGCCTACAGACAGTGGTTTACTTTCTGGGGCAGTTGTCAGTAGGTTTACTCAAGTGGCTGAGTAGAGACCTACAAATGAGAGTCATGGTCTGGTTGCCAGAATATTTGTTCATCAGAAAGGTATCTGGACAAAACTCCGTTGCCTCTGTATTTGGTACATCCTTGCCAGTCTGCATGCCTTTGTATAGCTTCTACTTCATGCAATTTTCTCATGGTTTTTCCTCTGATATTTTTGCAGGTGTGCTACTGCCTATATTCTTTTGGCTGAAGAAGAAGCAACAACAATTGTGGAAGCAGAGAAGCTGTTCAAGCAAGCTCTGAAAGCTGGAGAGGGCTGTTACAGACGCAGTCAGCAGTTACAGCATCATGGTGCCCAGTATGAAGCCCAACACAGTAAGTTTCTTTGGAGGGAATAACTATTTCTAAAGGGAGAGAAGTTCTGGGGAGTTCTCAGTTTGGTCTTTTTTGTTGCCTTTTTTTTTTTTCCCCTCTCAGAGCTGTGTACTTAGTATTTAACGTGGCTGGAATTCTGGCCCTAGAGCCAGACTACTGTGTTTCAGTGTTTTTACTTGATTCTATTGCTGAGCTAACAATGCTCGGGTTACAGATGTACCTTTTTTTTTGTTGTGGCAGAAAATATTGTAGCAAGTACTTAACAGAAAAGAAAAGGTGGCAGAGGCAAAAGAGATCTGGTATGCAGAAAACGCTGGCCACTGTTTTAGGAAGTTGCACTGAAGTGCCTTTAGGCGTTTCAGATACCTGGGCTGATGTTGTGGAAAGGCAGTAAAGAATGATGGAAACAGGAGTGTAGTGGTGCTTTGCCAGCTTTTTTCCATCAGCTGTGAGGGTAAATATGTACACCACATTGTTCTGTGTAAAAGTTAATGACACCCATTAACCAGTGTGACATTTGAAAAGTTCATTGCATACATTAAGAAGGGTCACAGAAACATAAAAACTAACAACTGGAGCAGTGCAGTAATTGAAAGTCTAGATTTATTTTTTTTTTTAATTCTGAATAAGCATATTTAGCTGCTGTGATTATATTTATTAGATGATGCTTAAACCTAAGAAAATACGTGAGGGTTCACTGACAGTAAATGAACAAAAACATAAATAAAGCAAACAATCTAGATTATTTCTAGTCTACAAGGGCTACCTCAGGCAAAAATAATGACAATTAATTATGTGAGTACAAGCACTAACATATTTTGGGCATCTCGGGTTTCTCAGGACCTGAATTCACAGCCTCTGGCTATCTCACATGTTTGAAGATTGCTGATAAAAATTGTACATAGTGAAATTGTCTGTGATCTCTGGTTTCAAAAGTCTATACAAGTCTATACCTGAGAACCTGAGGTTTTATGAAGCTTGGGGGCAGCATTTTAAACATTTGTTGGTTATAAAATGATATTTAGGATGATTTGCTTGGTTTTGGTGAAAATGAAAATACAGAGCAGCTGAGCCCTTGAAGCAGTTTTCAGGCTCTAGCAGGCTTCTGGTTGTCTATGAAACTTTTAATTTGTGCACTCAATCCATCCTGAGCACGGAAAATGACAGTGATTCTATGAAAGATACACAGTAAGAGCAATTAAACACTGTCATGATGCTTATGTCCAAGATAACCTGCATAAGTTTGTGCAGGCAAGTGTAAGTATGGTATGTAACTTGTGGTAGATGGCTACTGTCATCATCAGATTTGACACCCCAAACCTTCAGTATTCCAGCAGAGGAAGTAGCCAGTTGAATTGCAAAACTAAGTGCATTGCCACAGAGCAGGAGGGGCTGAGGAGTGACTGCCTGCTCTGACTGTGGCGCTTCAGGAGGGGCTTCAGGAGAGGCTAGATCATCGCACTTCTCTATACCACCCAGTCTCCCCTCGATAATGTCAGTGTGCACCCACAGAAGTTAGAGAAGTTCCAGCCTCAGATGATGCCTTGGACACAGGGGCTTCAAGTAGGATTCTTTTGATTATATGCTGGACTTTTGCATGGTTTACAAAGGTGGAGAGCTCATCTCTCTTTAGAGAGGAAGGACGATGGACAGATGTGTCGCAGTTCCATGATTCTGAGATGTCTGTCATTCCATTTTTGGTCCTTGAAGTGGACTTTGGGATGAAAAGTGGGCATTTCATCTTTTACAGGTGAAAACCACTATGTAATTTCTTGAACAACAGCATATTTCTCTCTGTTTGTTTATTCATGGGTTCCATCTCCTTTGTACAGTATGTTAGACTGTGAATTTTAAGAGTAAATAATGACTTTGAGTACTCAACTTAACCTCTTTCAAAAGGTGCTAGTTTATAGAAAGCATGGGCAATCTTCTTTTTAAGGTGGCACATGTTAGTCACCCCAAATCATTAGTCCTATCAGAAAATTTTGGCCTAAAAGGTTATGTCGATTTCATAGGAAGTAAATGCCTTTTGACCATTCCTTCTGAAAAGACTGAAAAGGAGCTTGGCCTGAAATGTATACCTCTTAGTTACACTACATAAACAAGTTGAAACAGATGTAACTAATAAATTGTTTATTTAATATATAGCAATCAGTACAGCGATAAGGAATTACATAATATAAAGTGTAGCTAAAGAAATTCCTTCCGTCCCTTATTTATTCCTTCTTCTAAAGTCAGACCTTTCAGCCTGCTGCTTAATCTATCTGAAAATTGTAATCACAGCTTTAAAGCAATTTATAGGTACTTGGAATGTTTTCAGTGCACATCTTGTTCTTATTGTGAAAGATTTGAAAATGTTAAGAACCTAAAATCTTCACAGACTGCATACTATACACAAAGGTAATTTGTAGCAGGTGTCTTACAGCTTCATTTATAGATCATTAGCTGTCTACTCATTTCCTATTGGTCCAGAAGCACGTTAAGAGTTCATGTTGAAATTATAGGGAAGAGAATAAGGAATGAAACAAGTAAGAATTCTGCAAGAGAATAATCATTGCAGCTGTTCAGTTTCTGTCATCTCTGCTGTTAGGGCATCTTTTGCCATCCATAGTTAGCGGTGTGAGGAGTTCGATGATAACTGGATAACAAATAGAGACTCTGTAAACAGGGTATACTTCTTTTATTCTAATAATTAAGGAAAAAGGCAGTTAGAGGATGAGGATTTGTTCTGCTAGATCTCCTGTTAACAAGCGTGTACATCATAACTTACAAAAAAGGCAGGATATAACGTGCATTTTCGTGAATGCCCTTGTCTAAACCACATATATGCATTGGTAAGTAATTTAATGCTCTGTGTGTGACCACAGAGTTTTGTGCCAGTGTTAACTTCATAGGGGTTCTCCTTGCCTCACTTGGTTACTTGATGGTCTATACCCTACAGCACTCTCTGTACCTTTCAGATCTGCTTATATTTTGTAGGTGTAAGGCCAACCCATGGGTCCTTACTTATACCACTGTGTATCTGGAGTAATTCCACTGATTTCAGTGATGTTATGCTGTATCTAAATCAGCAGAATTTGGTAATTTTTAATTTAAAATGTTGTGAAAACATTGATAATAGTGAATAACAAAAATGGCAAGAAAACTGTGTTTCCTTTTGTGTTGGAATATTAAATGAACCTTTGTTTTATCTTTTTTATCTTAATGCTCTTTCTTTTTCCTCTTATACAGGAAGGGACACCAATGTGTTAGTTTATATTAAGAGGAGGCTGGCAATGTGTGCAAGAAAGCTGGGAAGGACCAGGGAAGCAGTGAAAATGATGAGAGATGTGAGTTTGGATTTGTTTCGCCTGTGGTACTTAGATAATAGTAGCATAGAAATGATACGCGTTTGCTTACAAGTTAGCATCCATTCCTGCTTTGCAGCACTGCTGATAGTCATTTCGTATGTGTAATGTATATAAAAATTAAGAGATCATCTGTAAGGTTGCGAAAGCAACATTGTAAAGTCATAAAATACCAGATGAACGGTTGCCCATACAGACTGAATTTCCCATCCTGGTACATGTGCAATGGAGTGTAGTCTTTAATTATTTGATCATGAAGTTACATAAAGTTTTTTCTGAAGCGTGTAATGAATGCTGCTAACTTAATAGGCAGGTCTTAAGTATTCTGTTTCCTCCTTGCAAAGCTGCAGTTTGACTCTGTGCACTGTTTACGTCACACTGTTCAGACCTGAGGACAGTGTTGTTTGTTCATGCAAAACCTATTACTGAGAAGTCAGACCCGAGTAATTAATCTGTAATGAAGTGATTTCCCTCTGAGATGGGGGATGACTGTATCCCTGTTTTGTAGGCAGGGAAGCTACCAGTGTAGTCATAAGTCAGTAAGCTACAAAGCTGCAGATTTGAAACACAAACGGTAGCTATTTTGGGGATGGCAGGAGAGGCAGGTGTCCACACAAGGCACTGCATCTGTTTCAAGAATGTGAAATGCTCAAGTTTAGAGATAGCTGTGAATGCCCAGCATTTCTACCAGTGAGATCTTCTGGATGCAGATTAAGAACACAGTTCTTTGAGGAGTTGACTTGCCTCACCTGAGGTAGCAAGTCTGTGACAGAAGGAGGAATGGAGCCCTAGAGCTCTGAGCAGATGATGGTAAAACTGCCTACCAGTTTTCCTGTGCTCTCCTTTCTCACACTTCGTTTTCCAGTTGCCACGAAAGTGAGGCAAAGATGAATCCGCAAGATACAGAGTTCTGCAAGTCAAGCTGAAGGTCCTAAATTTTAGGTGCACAAAGTGGAATCCCAGACCAGAATGAAGGACCTGAGCTTTAGGCAGCTCAGGTGAACGGTCTCGAAACCTACCTAGTGAAAAGGGAAATTCTCGGTGCAAGTCAGTGGGAATTTTAACATAAAAAGGCAAGTGACTTTCTCTGGAGCTCAGGCATTTGCATCAATGGCAGTAGGGCAAGTATGTCTGCCAGCTTGGAATGCAGCACCCGGCATCTTCTCCTGGAGCTGGGGCACCGATGACTATGTTTTGAAAACACTGAGCAGAGTTCATTGTAATCATGCAGGTCCTCATCCTAAGTAACCTGCCAGATGGCAAGTGGTGAGTAGCTTTGTTTCCTGTCTCTAGCTGGGGTTTTTCAGGCACACAACTGTCCCTCCCCACAATCACTAGGCCCCCAGACAGAGGTGTTGAAAAAGAACTTGCCAAAAACCCAGCCATTGTACAGCTAGGAGTGTGAGAAAGAGGGATGAGGAAGAAAGACCTGGTTTTGCAGTCTTGTGGTCAGCTGGGAGAGTGTTGATTTCAAAAACGTTGTTTTCAGTCCAGCCAGCTCCGATGATTGTTCATGAATTTTGTTACACAGGCACTCTGGGACAAATACTGAAATGTTTGGGGACAAACACTGGATTTCTAAGTTCTGGCATTAATATACAAGAAAGATAAAATTTTGAATTTCACATTCAAATGTCACACATAATTATGGCAACTTCTGGAGCTTACTATGGGCTGCTGGCTGGGTTTTGTGATTTGTAGGTAGGCCTATGTGGAACAGATACTGTGAAGCCTTCTTCTGCTGATGTCAGTATGGTTAATTGTGTATGCAGAGCACTGGCTTCAGGGACTTGGGTGGTCTGTCTAGTCCTAGTTTTCTTAGGTAAAGTGAGACCCAGAATGCTTTGATTATAATGAATGGCTTATTCTGTCACTAGAGAGAACATTGTGTGTTGTTGAAGTTAAGTACAATGTGGATCTCGAAAGGCAACAATGATAGGGAGACCCGAAGTCATTGTTTGTTAGACACTTGAAGGACAGAAAACACTCTCCTCAATGGGAACATTTTGCTAAAATGGAAGGGCTGGATGCAAGCCAAAGGAGGTGGAAAACCAGAATTTTAGCTTCTAGAGCTTCAACACAGATCAATGCATACTGGATTTTTCCACATACAGACACGGAGCCAAATCCTCAGACCTGAATTTAGATGCCTCTAGAGCAATTCGTTGTGAGCAAGCAGAGCTAAGAATTAGCAGGTCCCTAGATGAAATATAAAAGCAGCAATATCTCTAGGTCACCACTGCAGTACACTGGGAGCAAGAGTGGGGTCAAGTCAGCTTTGCAGATGCTTCTCTTAGACCGACTTGGAGCTACTTAATTCTGATGAATGCATGTCCTCCATTTCTTCATAGGGGACATAAATAATACACTTATGAAGAAGCTTGAAACACATGAATGTGTCATTGAATGTTTCTGTGTGATTGATGAGGGAGGAGATTAATTTATTCACCCTAAAAAGAATATGAAGAATATGTTGGCTGGGGACAGCTGAATCTAGCATCAGGGGACAGAGGGCGGAGGCCCTGTTTGTGTTCGAAAGATTGGAAACAGATTTCTCAAGACATGGAACATGATGGAAATGAAGTGTTAAGAGGTTCATGACACCATCTGAGAAATATGATTGGGATGCAGTGAGTCTTTGCCACTTTGAAAAAAGAAAATATTTGAAAGTGTTTAATTCATTGCATGTATGAGGCCATCTTGAGGACATTACTGATGGATTAGATTGTCTTACATGAATTTTATGTAAGAAAAGACTGAGATCTTGCTTAAAACACCTTAATGGAAAGAAAATGAGTTGTTAGTGACTTAAATAAGATTTTGATATTATGGTTATATGCACTGCTGATAGGAAAATCATATTCTTTAATATTATATTGAAGACATTTAAAACGAGTTTTTAAAAAACTTAAAAAAAAATGTTTAAAACCAAGTTTTTTTAATTTTAAAAAATGAGGTAGGAATTTCTGTTGCTTCTGTGATTGACTTTGAGATAATATTGCTGCTGGCTTTGCTGCTTGGATGTCATTCATTTAGTTGAGTTGAATTAATGAGAATTATGAACCTGTAATTTTCAAGGAAGCATGTGATTGAAGCATACATAGGTGTTGCTTTTGCTGGTATTTCTGATGATAATTATTTACTATGTTTTGCCATAGAAACAAGCAGCTGTCATTATTTGTATATATTGAGTTAAGTTATGATCTCATTTTGATTAGTGTATTGTTGGAGTAACTCCAGTCTAGTCAACAGAGTTATTCCAGTTTTAGTCCTGTTTATACTGAGCATGATATGGTCTGTGAGGGAGCTAGATCTCTTTTACTGTCCCTGAGGAGAAAGTCTACAGTGCTGGTTGTTTTATTTGTTGCGCTGATTGTGTCAGGAGGATTTAAACTGTTTTGTTCTAAATGCTGTTGGAAAATCTGGTATGTGCAGAGGTGAAAGGCCTTAATGGTGGCTGTGGGGAATCTTCAGTATCCCTTCATTTTGAATCTTTATTGTGGACAGTGTTGCAAGCTGAGTAGGTACATGCAGGTGAGCAAGGGTGGCCTTTTGTACAGGCTGCTCCGGCTGCTCGTCGCAGATTCCCGTGCCATTACAGTGCAAGACAACAGAACTGTGCTGGGTTTGTGGTTTGTGTTTTTCCTTGATTAAAAGCAGAGAGGATGTGGAGGGTATGGAAAGGCTCTTATCTCTGTACTTTGTGTGTGACCGAATCAGTGACTGCGCTACTGAATTCAGGAGCAGATCAACATGGTATTTCCCTCGACCGGGTCGCTGGAGTATCCAGGTGAAAATGCGCAAGAATGTGAATTGTCAGATTAATTTGAGCTTCTTGGGATGGTTCTGGAGAACATTTGCACTGGGGAACAAGCTTTCATTGAAGGGTGATGTATATTTAGGAAAGAGAAGGGTGGCACGCAGGAGGCATGCTAGTGGGCAGAGTGAGCAGAAGCTCTTAGTTGCTTCTCTTCCAGAGAGAAGATAAAATAAACTTATTCTGGAGTGTCTTTTATCTCCTACCCCATGGCCCTGCGCTCCTCTGAAGACTGCTTGTAGTCTTAACAAGTGTATGTTTCTGAGACACAGTGGAATGGCAACTTACCCTCTGCTTTGCAGCTTTGTTTAGAAACAAGTGAGGTTTAGGGAGAGAAGAGACTCCCCAGGTCTTTCCTCATTTCTGGAGGAGGATAGAAACCAAAACACTTTTTAAGGGTCAGAAAAGTACATTTTATTTCTAGGATCAATCATATCTGCTGAGAAATTACTCTTCAGATCACAGTAAAGGACCTAGAAGTCCACTTCTATGTACCTAGCTCTGAGAACCTTGCTGAAGATGTGTCAGTCGGATGTCTTTATGTGTTCATCTCAGTGCCCATATGGAGTCTCTAAATGAGTATTTTATGCCACAGGAGACACTAAGGAATTGTCAGTACCTAAGCAGCTCGTGTTGTTAGAGTGCTGTATACTTATCAATGCGCTACATGGCAAGTTCTTTAAACACTCCGGCTGCCCTGAGCATTTAAAATGGTTCAAAAGGTTGTCACTTGAAGGCCTCAAAAGGGTACTCAACCATGCTAAATCAGTTTTAATGATATGAGTAGGTTGGGGTTTTGTCTTTTTATGACCAGTGATATTAGTGATTTTTGCTGGTATGATGGTTCTGCAAATCTAGCATACTTTCTTGGCAACCTCTTTTGCTGGGCTTTGAATAAGGTTTTCTGTTCAGTGTTCTCTTGACGTCTGTATTCTTGTGTGCATTGCTGATTTGCTCTTCGGTAATAGGAATACATAGCTAGGACAGTGTTCTGCACCTTGAATTACCAAGCTGTGTGAAACAAAGAGAGTACTAATTGCTAATAAAGATGGTGTGATCGCTAGCAACTTAACAACAGTACTTCTGCAGCTACTTGCATTGGCAGCTACTGTCTGTCTCTTCCAAATACTTCTGTGCTTGAGGCAAGGATTAGTGGGTCAGATTC